CTCATTTATTGTGCCATTTTCAAGTAATTTCCATTAAGCTGATTACAGATTGGCAAATGAAAATGATATTCAGTAATGGCTGTAACCAAATTTACATTGACAAATTAAAGGCTTAACATGGCACATTGAAAGTCTCACTAGCAGAGCTCAGGTTGTTGGGGTGCATATAAAATCTCATCTACAAGACAAATTTTGGTTTTTGAGAAGGCTGTGGGATTGCAGTTAGAGAGCCCTAAAATAGATGGACTACCTTGTCTAATGCCAGTTTTACTTATGGATGATTTCTGACAAGATCAGGATAGAAGAAATGTGACTTTCCTCATATTGCTTGCCCTCTTTGCAACCGTTGATACCATTAGATCTGAAAGTGTAGATTCTTTTGGTATCTCTTTTCTCAGAATGTGTGATTGAATGTGCTCCTGCATCAAGAGAGGGGGAGGATTAGTTCCCTTCAGAGCTTTCCCAGAAAGAGACCACTGTCCTAAGCTGGATGGGGGAAGAGGGAAATGGTTTAGTGCAGGGGTAGGCAACCTTGGCTCTTTTATGACTCGTGGACTTCAACTCCCAGAATTCCTAAGCCAGCATGGCTCAGCTTGGAACCTCTCCCTTTTCCCTCAGCATGGCTGGCTCAGGAATTCTGGGAGTTGAAGTCCACGAGTCATAAAAGAGCCAAGGTTGCCTACCCCTGGGTAACCACACCCTTGAATCTCTCAGGAAATATCTAATAGCTTAGAACAGTGATGGCGAACCTTTTAGTGACCGAGTGCCCAAACCGCAATCCAAAACCCACTTATTTATTGCAAAGTGCCAAGGCCACATTGGGGGGGCATGGCCCACTGGGTGGGCATGGCTGCTGTGGTCATGGCAGACTGAGTGGATGTTGCTCGTGGGAGGATGCCTCTGGGGGCTGGCAGGATTGGGGGAGATCCAGGAAGTCTCTGGTCGATGGGCAGGTTCGTCCTGAGGAGTGAGGCAGGGGGTAGGGTGGGGGTGCCATTGCTGCGGGGCAAGGCGAGACAGGGGCGGCTGCTGCCTGATACCATCAGCCCCCGCACACAGAGGCCAGCGAGTGCATGGGGGCGTGCTCTACCACCTCTACTTGAGCTTGCTAGCCAGCTGCTTCATCTCCTTTGTGTTGGGTGGGCTGGCTGCTCTGAGCGCCAGCAGTGGCCTAATGGACCTGTGCGAGCTGGCGATGGCGGCAAGAGAGGGCTCTAAGTGCCGCCTCTGGCACGCATGCCATAGGTTCGCCATCACTGGCTTAGAAAGTTGTAGTTCAGTGGAGCAAGATTCTATTAGGTGTAAGCAAATAAAGAATTGGTCTCAATTAGATATCACTGTCTAGTCTCTGGGCTTGGGCCTTCCCCCTCTGCAGCTGCAGGTGCACGTTGCATAACAGAATGTCATCAACACTTTCCTGTCCTCTTCTGTATAACAATATTCTCCCAGAAATTTGAATGGTTTCTCCCTATTTTTTTAGGTGTTCCAAAAGTCATTGATTGTTGGAAAGTTTTAAAATTGTTTCCTTAAATTTTTGAATATTTGTACAATGTAACTGATGCTCTGTATATGTATGTATGTGTGCAATATATGTCTCTCTCCTTCTATATTTGTGTCTGTATGTACATTAATTTTTGGGTAATATTTTAAAATATAATTACACCAGAAAGGCATGCACCTGGACAACTAGTATATAAACCTAGTAAATATATAAACAAACACCTTCTATTCCTTTAGCAGAATAAGCCAAAGTTGTACATGCACAAGTTTTAAAGTGAAGTATGCCTATTGTACAAAACCTGGTATTTAATTTTACTATTTTCATAGAAAAAAAAGAAACCTGCCACATTGATTTGGGGGATAATAAAAGGGATTAATATCTTTCATGAGGTATCATCCATGCGCAATTGCCAAAAAAACAAAACAACCTAGAATGGTTTCCCCAGCTACTTTATATTTATAGACTTCCCCACTCATTACCAGAACTTAAAGTAATTATTTAAAATATAGTTAACTATAGTTACCCATACAATTAAATGATTTCATGACAGCAAGCATGAAATAAAGCAGTAATCACATCAGCCACCTCTTTTTTGTCTGTTACTGTGTCTAATGAGTTTTTCTTATGTCCTGCTTTTCCAAAAAAGAAAATTGTGTTCAAGAAAATTGATGCTGAATGTGAATAGATTAGGAAATTAAAAAGAATACTTTAAAGGGTTATGAAACTGTCTTTGAAATGAAGACTGAACATGTTGGTAATATGAACAGAATAAATAAGGGGACATTTTAATCCAGGTTGCTAAGGAGCTTTGAAGAGCAGTGTTTACACAATAAGCCTTGATTAACTGAAATATGACTTGAATTAATTTAATTCCCAGAATTTGCATAATATATCAAACCATAAACTAGCCATGTAAAGGGGCTCTGTATAAGCTAGGCTAAAATGTGCTTAGCAAAGTTATAACTCAGTGTGAGCCTGCTGAAGAGACTGCTGGGAAAGAATACAATTTCATCCCAAGTAAAAAGAATATGTGAATTAAGGACAGGAAAGGTGGCATGTTTGCTGTATGTACAAAGCTGTAAGAAGGGAAGGTGCTTTGTTTTAAGAAGACAAATAAATATAAGCTAAAACCAAACTTTCTTGGTAGATACCAAGTAGTAACAATGCAGAATTCTTTGCTTTCGGGATTAAATAGAGTGGAAATGGAGAAGAAAGAAGGACGAAGGCTTAGAAACAGTCGTTTCCTCCATTCCCGTGTATTCTGGATGGGAAAAACCCCATCTTTTATCACTTCCAGCCAGCCTGGCCAAAAATTGCATTGTCTGAAAAGAGGGGGACGAGAACGATTACTACAGGTTGGAGACCGTGAGAAACGAATGAACTCACTGCTAAGTACATATGCATACTACAGATTTCTTGTTTAGCACTTCGTGAATGCATACGATATTCATTGCAACCTACGCCAGAGTCTGCAAGAGCAAACAAAGCAGTCAACATCCATTAACTGCACGCCCTCCCGCCAAAGACGCACAAATCGGATCCTTCGGTGGGTTTGAGCAATGGACGGAATGCAAAGGGTCTTGCTCTGTAAAGGGGTGTGGCCTCCAGATCTACTTTTGTATCATCTTATTTCAATGCGTCCCCCTTTCACTTTCCTTTCGCCTTTCCCACATCTCAACCCACTTTATACCGATCCCAGCCGTAAGCAACCGAATTTATTACTTGTCGTTTGCTGCAACTCAATCGGAAGACCCGAAAAAGTCCTTCTGCTTAAATTCATTTGAAAGGAACAAAACATCCCGCTTTCTCATTGGTCCAAATTAAATCCCGGGATGTCTTTCTTTCTTTGTTTTAATTAGGTGACATCAAAGAAGAAATGCGGACGTGGAGAGAAAGGCTGGAGCAGAGATGGTTGTCATGGAGAAGATTCGAGCAGGGGCTGGGAATACAAATCCCGAGAGCAAACGCGGCGGCTGCGCGCGCATTCTATTCCTCACTTTTCTCTTTCCCATTGTTCCCCTAATCAAACGCCTGTTCCCAATTCCGCACATGCGTACTTGTGGTTCCAACTCAATGTGGTCACATGCTTTCTCCTATTCATCCTCCCGGTGCAAAAAATTAGCGCGAGACGAGTAGTAGTTTCCTCTCTTCCCTTTATCTAATCACAGTTGGAAACGTAACCAATCATGGCTACCAGAGAACTGGCTAATTTGAATATTTGTAAATTCTCAACCTTTCTCCTGAAAAATTAATTATGATCTGCTGTTGCCATAGACTGGTCTATAGTACCGTAATTTTATAAGAGTTATCATGACCTTATGATTCTTTGATAGTTGACGATGGCATTTCTGCTCCTTCCTTTCTTTAAGTAGTGTTACTTTTGCTAAATAGTCTTAACAAACCAAATACTGAGATATTTAAAGCCTTTGAGGACTAGGAAGGGAAATGCCGTGTTCAGTAATATTTTTCTTTTCTAATTGCCCATGATACAACAGGAATGCTAAATACTCTTATTCATGGAATATGAGCAATTGAATAGTTTTTATCATCAGACCAATTATTGCTAAAAGACTCATGTAATTGGGAGATGTCAAGAATTAACATTGTGATTTAAATGCCACTTGTTCTCTGCTTATTTTGCCAATTATTTAAAAAAATAAAGCTTGACATTGTAATACTTAAAATCAAATTATAATGCATTCGAGTCACCTTCACAGACATTTCTATGTGTTTTTAAAAATTAATCTTTCCTTTCAAAATGAAGACAGGCAGTGTCTGCCATGTTTTAAAAATCTCTAATAAGTTTTTTTTTAAGTTTTAAAAGTTTTAAAAAAGATTTTAGTAAATCTCATTGAAATTCAAATTAATTCTAAACAGGAATATTGTACTCAGTGGTAGGATTCAAATATATGAACAACTAGTTCTTTGGATGCTGCTTCCGGAAGTCCATTCTGGGCCTGGGCAACAAAAAATTAGTTACTGGTTCTGCCGAAGTGGTGCGAATTGGCTGAATCCCACCACAGATTGTACTGTTGATACAACCCATTTTAAGATATAAATGTAGCACAATTCAAATTTGTTCTAAAACATTTATTTACATTTCTATATCATTTTGTAACTGTATTAGATATGATATCAACTTCCTAATGCAAAATTTTCCTTATTTAACCAAAATTGGTTCATTCACATGCAGTAGATAACTATGATACCGATCTTTAGAGAACCAAGTTTGCAAGAGTATAAAAATCTTTGAGAAGAAAAAAAACCTCACCAAGTGGAACTCCCACCCCTCATATAGCAATAATATGCCGTAAAGTGTCTCTCTATACATATGGATACATATACTCTAATGAAAAATTATGAAAAGTTTCAAATTGCCAAGTATTTCCTGAATATGTGTTAATAACCACAATGAAGTAGTTTTGTTTAATGAAACCTAAGCAGCAATACATAATGTTATAACATGGCTAAGGTTTAACTACCAACAAACAAACTTGTGTCAAATAGGTAATCTTCAAAAGTTCCAGCATGTCAGCTGCCAACAAGATAGTATTGTAATAGGAATTTCCACACCACGCCCCCTAGCGTGCAGCCAATAAAATAAAGACTGGCTGAATATAAGATTGCAAACATTTCCTCTCTGTTTCACATCTTGCTTATGCTTAAACAAGCCATGGGGATTTTACTCAGCCGGATTTATGATGCTTTCTATGGGATGGAGGCGCGTATTCTCCTTCTGGGTCTGGATGCTGCTGGCAAAACAACTCTGCTCTACAAGCTGAAGCTGAATGAAACAACTTCAACCATTCCCACTGTGGGCTTCAATGTGGAGACAGTTCAATCCTTCCACAATGTCATTTTCACCATGTGGGATGTTGGTGGACAAGAGCGCATCAGGGCCCTATGGAAGCACTACCATACCAACACAGATGGGCTGATTTTCATGGTGGACAGTATGGACTATTATCGTTTTGAAGAAGCTAGGCTGGAGTTGGAGGCATTACTGGATGCTGACGATTTGCGAGGGGTGCCTTTGATGCTGCTAGCCAACAAACAAGATTTGCCTGAAGCATGGCCTTCCATGAAAGTGGCAGAAAGGATGGGAGTGAGGAAAATATCAGGACGCAAATGGCGTATCCAGGGTTGCTCTGCTATAAGTGGTGTGGGGATCCCTGAGGCTATGGAGAAACTATCGGAGATGGTCAAGGCATATCGCAAAACTAAGAGGACCATCTGAGTTCAACATATGAAGAATACAAGGTTTTCTGCTTAACTCTTTCTGTTTGCAGCAGAGTCTTGCAAAAAGCCTCTTGGATCCCATTTACTCCTAATTCTCTTCATGAGTCATATGAAAAAACATTTTTTAATGTTGGGGCTAATTTTGAATATAGAATAGGCTATAAAACTGTGTTGGACTAAATAACAACTGGACTTTTTAAAAATGCAGTTTATATCTTCATCTTCATACTGAATCAAGTTGAGAATTCCAGGACTTGAATAAATGAGACTCTAATATCAACAATGGATCTTTAGTTATCAGAGGCCAATTTTATTTTGAATCAGTAACGTGTTAATTCTTCTGCTGCATTGGTGATAATTCTAGTTGTATTAAGAAAGTCTATACCTTGCTTCATATCATATTAAAAACTTATGTAACAATAAATAGATTGCATGTTAAAACTGGTGTTTCTTCTTTGGCGTTTGGGTAAAATATCATTTATTCTCTACTTTTCTTAAACACTGAAGTATTCCAAATACAGTATACTACTAGTTTTTGTTTGCTTTTGTGGGGAAAAAAGCTTGTCTCTCGTTTTATGTTCTTTGATCTTAAGCATTTTACTGCTCTTAATTCAGGTATTTTTGGAAGATGCTGGTTATTTTGAAGGAGAAGGGGGCATTTTTCCCCTGATAAATAAAACTTCACAAATCTTTTAGCTTTGAAGGCTTCCTGGTTACTCTTCCAAGCAGTCCCCCTTTTAGGCTTCTATGTGAGCTTGAAAAAGTATATATATATTTGAAGTGTGCATAGCCCTAATAAATATGCATTTAAAAAAGACAATGGTGGTTGATGAACACTGGCTATAGTAGAACCATATCAGTATAAAATCCTTGCTCACTGTATATCATCTTTTACTAGGTTGCAAACACTTTTCAACCTTTTCTTATACCCTGATTCCTGACTCTTCCTCAAAACAATAGTGTTAAAAGAAAGCACCAGAAGGCTGAAATAGCATATTCAGATAAGAAAAGAAGTAGAATCTAGAGGCAAAGTTAGACGAGGGATCAGCCTAGAATTCTAAATAGCCAATAGCAAACTGAGTACAAACCACCTTTAATCATTGATTCAGTCAGGTTGAAATGATTCATACCTATCATTAACAATAACTTAGTTTAATTGGACCTGATCTTTCACACCTGACAATTCAGTAATTATTAAGTTCTAGTAAATTGCAGAGAAAAGTTATTAATGATTGGCATTAATGATTGTTAGTGATTATAAAGTTATTTATTTTTTTTATACTTGCATTGTAATCCATATCATTCCAGTTCTAAAAGTCATAGAGTATCAGACAGAAATGTACTAGATGTGTAGGGTAGTTGCTGTGTATTGTTAAAACAGTTGGATTTATGTCTGATGAATTTCTTCTGCATGTGGAATTTGGAGGAAGCACTGTCTCATGTAGAGAGGCGCCTGGGATACATTCCTGTATCAAGTGGGGGCGGGTTTTACATTTGAATGTCTGCTTGGGCATATGGCTCTAGAGTTCCATAGTAAGCCTGAAAGAGTTAGACAAAATGCAAGTAGGCAGGTAAATATGACTGGTAACACCTTCATAGAATGATGACTGGATCAAGTTTTTGCAATTTACATTACATAGATGCTGAACTATCTACTTTATAAGGAACTGTAGTAAATTAAGGATTGCCTCAAAATGATGATAGACATGCAGTGGTGGTTTGATGCAAGCACTATCCTGACATTTAGCAAAAGTATTTAAGGACACCATGCTGCATGTTTCATCACTTGTCTCTCTTGTAAAACCTATACAATTTCCTGGCTTGTTTGAAGCATGGATAGAGATTGGGAGCATTTAATGTCAACTATTATTCAAGCTTTTAAATTAATATGCAAGATTTTATAAGATCAATAACATCAATACAACTTGAATGAATTTTTCTGAGTTTAGTAAGAGCAAGTAACATACCATTTTTGAAAGAGTACTTGCATATGGGAATGTAATTTCCTTGTTTCTGCCAAAACAGGCAAACATTCTTATAGAATACTGTAGTTCCAGCAAGACAAGATGATCTGAAATGTAATTTCTTTTACATTTAATCTTCTACTTGCCTGCTTTCTACATTAACAGGGAACAGTAATCAACTTAGTTAGTTCTCCAAGCCAACCCTTTTTCCCAGATCAAACTTCATGTTAACATATTTCCATCAATCCAATTAGATTGATTCTCCAGTAGTTGTTCATTTTTGAGCCATTACTTTTTATTTAATGATTCCAGAATGTTGGATTATGTCAGCAGATAAAGTTATCCCAAGAATATAGAATGATTTTTGACACAACAGATCAACAGAACTTCTGTGTTTTTTCTTATTTTTCTTATTTTACATAACTGACATCCAGAAGGGGGGTGAAAAAGTATAATTTCTGCAGATTTAGAACTAAGGTTATTTCTGTTTTGTTTTTGCAGCTAGTGAATTAATTGGGCTTGTAATGATTGATACACACAGTGCTTTTTTGTTAAAAAAAAAAGGTGCCAAACTCATGCACAGTTGAAAACCCTTTGGGGGGGGGAAGAGAAGAAACTGCTTTAGTAAGCTTCCGAGGAGCAGGTCACTCACCTGGAAAAGGTCTGTCTCCTCTCTGCGTGCTTTCAATGACAAAAAAGCCCTGGATACACATACTGGTTGCATTTACATACACACTTAGCATATTCTTACACTTGATTTAGTATATTGTGTGACCCAGCCTGTTTAGTTAATTTATAGTTCAATGTATTATTAGGGTTTTGGCAACCAAATTAAAGATGCCATTCTCTTTGAAAAAAGATTATCTTAAAACAACCTGTTCCATAGTTATAAGTAATTGTTGCTTCATTAAAATAATTCAAAAATCCATTATTATGTGTAACCGTAATTAAATACCAGTATACTAAATGGGAGCACCGACTGGAAGTTAATATTTCTAAGTTAGATTTTACTTAAGATATTTTCATCTCTTCTAACCATTGGAAGTTATTCTGCCAATGGATAAGATACAACCCATCACTGTTATATATCTATTAACAAAATCTAGGTAATGGCACAGACACTATGAGTTAATAGTGGGAAGCATGCAGCCAACACCACACTTCTCTTTCCTATAGGCTTCTCTCCTCTTTGCAAAAGCATTCAGCCAGTGATAAATTTCACATTCCCCTCTCCTCTTTGCAAAAGTGTTTTTGTGAAGAGAGGATGTGCATGCAGGAATGCAGGAACGCCCAACCTGTTCTCCTTTCCTACTCTGACATCTTGAGCACTGGAGATCTTCAAAAGGTGAGTGAGTGATCCATGACAGGGTTGGTGTGGAGAAGGCCCAAGCAGCTGTAAGGATCCTAAGGAGTGAGAAGTGGAGCACGGGATATCTAAGTGGGTAGGGAGAGGCTTTGGATGGCCAGAAGCAGATGGTCTTGTTCCTGCATTAGACTCCCTTGGTTTTCCCCACCTAGGTACCCCATGTGCACTTAACAATCTGCACAAATTTGTGGGGAGCTGGGATGAGGACTCATTTACTTAATGTGTTTCGTTTAATGTCTTCCTGGCTTATGATGGTAATGGACAGCTCCATTTTGGTCATAGCTCAAGGACTACCTGTATTCTTTTTGTGGGGAGAGTGGTATATGACAACGCTGCAAAGTAGTATCAAAGTAGTATCCTGATATGCTAAGATCCACAACTTCTGGTGCTATGTGATTTTTGGGTGGTGGCAGATTATAAAAGTAATAAATCATTTTCAAATTATTCCATATCTCAGTAATCTCAAACAAGTGATAAATGTTCTTTTATACTTCTGAGATTTCAGATGGAAATAAGTATATAAACACCAGTTTGGTGTATGGTGAAAGTGCTGGCCTAAAAACCAAGAAACTTGTGAGTTCTAGTCCCGCCATGAAAGTCACCTGGGTAACTTTGGGCCAGTCATTCTCTCTTAGCCCAACCTCATGTGATTCTTGTTAGGGGGAAAACAGTAGGAGAGATAACATTTATGTAAGTTCACCACCTTGAGATATTTATAAAGTAATAAAGATGGAATATGTGCTTCTCTGTGTTGTGTGTAATGCAAAATTTGACAATTTATAAGTTTTCATGTATTTTTAAAACTGCATTTTAAATCATGGGAGCTGTATAGAGAGCCTATGGCAATATTATAGGATATATGGTGCATTTGGGTGTCTCACTGATTAACTTTGAGTTACTGTAGGGATTGGCAAATGACGGCTTAGCAAGCTGTGTGAGTTCATTGGGTAGGCCTCCAAATATTTTAAAGGACATCTGCCAGTACACGAGGCAGCACAATTTCAGGTATGCTGGATGTAGTTCAGTAAATCACAATTTGTGCTTTATCACCTTGACTACAGAAACATTGTTAAATGCATTTTTCTATCACATAAACCTGTTTTAGATTTATATCCACCTTTCATTCAGGAGTTCAAAGTGACATGCGTAATGTTCCTTCTCCAATTTTTCTCCAGAAAATCCCTATAGAAAATTAGACTGAGAATCCCAGATGCCAAGGGAGTGCCTGTTGTGAAGGATGGACCAGAACATGTGTGACTTTTTCTAGTCCAGCACCTTCATCACCATTTTGTGTGGCTGGATAGGGACAAAAAATGTTAGTATAATTCTATATTTTTAATAATTTTAATTACTTCTTCAGCTCCATATTCTAACTCACTGGTTTCCCAAATTGCATGAAGAACCCTTTTTAATGTTTAAATCAGGGGTCTTCAAACCTGGCCCTTTTATGACTTGTGGACTTCAACTCCCAGAATTCCTCAGCCAGTGTGCCTGGCTCAGTAATTCTGGGAGTTGAAGTCCACAAGTCATAAAAGGGCCAAGTTTGAAGACCCCTGCTTTAAACTTTTGTGGAGTCCCATGACACGAGCAGGACCTTCAGTATCTGTTGACTGAAATAAAGCAATAATAAAATCTAGTATGAATTTAATTTTAATTCAGTTTTATTTTACTAAATACAATTAAAACACACAGGCATTGCATAGGCAATGGAAGTTTACTCACTATACAAAATTAATAATTTTGGGTAGGAGATGCATATTGGTGAGTTTGATGTTCAGATTAGACTTAAAAGGAAGCCAGTGGTATGACCCAAGGTGTAAGACAGTAGAGTGTCTTATTTATGGGAGAAGAAAAACAGAAGAGAGGATTGTGACAGATGAGATGCCTTGGTGGGGTAACAGGAGCTCTTAGGACAGTGAATGCAGAACAAGGAAACATAGAATGATGATAATTATGTTGTTAATAATTAAGAGAAAGAAAAACCAACCATAGGCAGTTCAGTATTGCAACTAGGCTGG